GGGGCTGGAATTTTAGGCCCCAAAATTAATTCGGGAACCACAAAAACGTCTTTACGTATCAGTCAGTCAGTAATGCAGTGGGTACTTTTAATAGCAAAGTTCCCCTCGACGAAGTTCACTGGACGGGATTGTACAAAACGCATGATCGCAGCAGCTGCTTTGGTGTGCGCCACATCTGAATTGCCTTGGTGTGCTTGAGCAGCTTCTGGTTTAAAATCCGGATTTTCATCTTTTTTGCACTGATTACGATTTTGTGCATTCGCAGTCACATCACTTCAACGTTGCAGATGGTAGGCCGGTTCGGCTCACTCCTCTTTTGAACATTTTCATACATCTGAGTTAAGTTTTCAGGCTAAAACAATTGGACATTGAAATGATGAAAAAACTCCATGATCGTGTGAATGTAATCCCGGTAATTGCGAAAGCTGATACGTTAACCGAAAGCGAGCTTTCGCATTTCAAGAAACAGGTGATTATCTTTTTCAAAAATTTTTGTCGCTTCTCACTCACCACACTGTGTCTTGCCGGTGCGAATAAGAAGGGAGTATGCCATTGGGCGTGTAATTATTGCCTGTTAAAGTGAGCTCATTCCCTTTTCGTTACATTGAATTTGCTTTTTGAATGTACGCACCTTTAACTAGTCGTCTTGGAATGCATGCCTCTCCAGTTTAGGTTTGGTTCCAGTGATAAAATCTCCTCGTGTAGGAAAATTCTTCACTGCTGTGTGAGCGGGCTGCAGAACGGCAACTACGTAAGAAAATAAAAATCGATGTAAAGTGTATTTACAGCTCTCCTGGTTGACATCACTTAATGAGTGGTCCGGCAAGGAGATAAGAGATCGTTTAGCTTCCTTCGAAAAAGTAGCGCATAGGCGATGAATAGAATCAGAAAGTCTAGTGTAACTGCGTTAGGCCTATGAAAGTATCTTAAAACATCGGTAACACGAAATTCCCACAGCAGTTATGCAGGCTGTTTTAATGTTCATGGTACAACAGATTTTATATCTGTTTAAATTCGTCGTGGAGCAAGTTTTGATTTTGCATTTTGTTTGACAATTTTTATATGTTTCTGCATTTTTTGTAATTACAAAAACTCATATTGTTACGAGGTGATCGATGCATGCGACTATTTGTTCGGATTTTCGTCACTCGCATTCAACTCAGCAACTGCAAAAGCTAGGAAGCTGGCATTTCATACGGGTATTCCTATCCTAAGTGCCATTCAAATGGACTGAGATCAACGTTCGAATACGCCTAGGTTTCGCGCACAGGCGCTTCAATGTATTAATCGAACGGACTAGTATGCTTAAATTTTACAGGGTTGTTTTATGTCCATGTTTGACCTAAAAATTTCGTATTCCGCTTTGACGCTTACCTAGTCTCATGTATGGGTGCATCACAGTTGAAACTGAGAAAATCATGGCAAACTGCCAACTCAGGAACTAAATTGATCAAAGTGTTTTAGTTTATGAGAGTATTTGATATTTGATATACAGACGTAAAATGCGTTCCGGCTTTTGCTTGCATCACTTGTCCGGGTACATCAAAGATACTTGTAAAAAAAACAGTTTGACCAACTAGTCATGCGAAGGAGCTGGAACTTTTCAAGGATATTCCATGCCCAGGCGTGACCAAAATATTTCAAATTCAGTCTTAAAGCACTCTCCGGTCAAGCATTGTTTTGCGACATCGTTGGCGTCCAGTTAACTCGGTAACCAGACTGAGTTGGAGGCAGTGTTTTTTTGAGGATGTTTGCTGTTCATGCACGGGCCAGCAGGCATAATTTCTGAGCTTCTGTCTAGGTTCCTGCGTGAAAGCGCATCAGGCTTTCAAATTGCAACGTCGCAGTCACACCCCAGTAATACAAACAACCTCTCTTTATGGAATCATGCAAAAACACGTGGTTGTAATGGTAAGCCGCGACGTCGCTACCCGGATGTATCCTCATTTATCCGTTCCGGACTTCTAGTCCCTTCCTCTATTTCTACTAGATAAACGATAGTGTTTAAGTCGTTCTTTTGATACGGGAAGACGTGATTATTGTGTGTTCTCGAGATTTGAAACCAAGAGCTACTTACGGTCGCCCGTACGTTTTAGATAATCAAAGAAATTGATGAAAATAACATCAAACTGTACAAATTTCCTGATACGGAAGATGATGATGAAAAACGCCAGTTTGGGCCGTTGCGTGAACGATTTCCTTTTGCAGTTGTTGGTAGCAACCAGGTACTTTGCTTTAACCGGAGAATTTAAATAGATTTTTTGTGAAAAATCGAATACTCTACCAATACTTATGAAGTAAATTTGAAATTTCTGGGTCAAAAATGGGCGGGCAGTATCTTCCTGAATGAATGCTTGGATGTCTTAGCCTTTCTGATGCCCAGGTTAGTGATTTTCCCGCCAGAAACTTCACTTATTTTTACGTAAGAATCAAATCTGTTTAGGGGATGAATTCGAAATCTTTGCATTTGTACGGGCGGAGAATGCCTCCCTTAAAATTTCAGCTTGCCTGGTTCTAACTTAACAGTTATTTCACCAAAGCTTTCGCGTATGCATGCATAAAAACCAGGGGCATTTAACAACTGAATCTGAATTCTTTAGATCGCCGTGAATAGAGAACATCTTTCTAAACTTTTAGCCTCCCAGCTTTCGTGACTCCTGAATTAGCAGTTTTTCCGCCAAAACTATCACATGCTTGTGCGTGAGTCTGAGACGTGCATGAAAGATGGGATCGCTTCCATAGATTTCACCTGCCTACTGGCAAAATTTCAATATTTAATTTAACCTGATTGCCAAGCTAAAATATTTGGAAAGACGCATATATATGTATATGCACATGTGCATATATACATATATGCATATATATATGTATATTTATATATGTATATGTATATATATATATATATATATATATATATACGCAACAGTATGCGTTTCTGCTGATTGTTGCACCGCGATAGTTCCGCTTCCAAAAACGCATAAAAAGATTGGGCAGTACAGAATGTGAAATAAATGTTAACAAGAACAAAACTTCTATCATGGGTGCATATATAAGGTTGTGAAGTTATGAAAGTTTTTACTTATTAATGGTCTTAATACTGCACGAAACTGTTAAAAAATGCATGTATGGGCAATTTATTACGGCAATTTATTACGTCCGGGTTTTTTTGGCTTCTCAGACTGGCATTTTGACAGTTCTTGGTTTTGGTAGGTATCGACAAGCCTAGTCGTTTTTGTAATTCATTTTTACAACTTAACAATATTTGGTTCGGTCCAGCGGCAGCTTATGCATTACACTGGTGAGTCTCACTTTTCCCTGCTATGCTTAAGAGTTTTTTGTGTCTGGTAGCGCGACGGAACACAGGCCGTTTTTATACATCAGCTACCACTTCCCGACTACTTCGGAAGTCTTGTTCGTTCACATCGACAGACAGTGTATCATTACTCCCCCATTGCCAGTTTTTTCACATGTCGATCAGTTCGGACAGTCATCCTCCCTCTCTCCTTAAATGGGTCTGGTAGCATCTTTTAATTTTAAACTTGTTTCTTTCTGTACAAATTCTCTTTCACACACTTAGCTTTTACCATCTGTCTCTTACACACTTAACTTTTATCATTACTTTACCTATCCCTTTTTCAATAACATATTTTTTTAAATTAAAATCAAATTCATGCTAATTTCCACAGTCGTCATACTGACGAGGTCCAGATTGCGGTAATAGTAAGAAATGTGTACGAATTAATGGACCGGAACATTTCTTACCATTAAAACTAATTTTCACTACGTTTAAAATTTTATTAATTTCTCCTTTTCAACATTAAAATATTTTATTTCACTAGCCCCCATTCATACTTATGTGCGTCCAAAACATTTCTGCCGTGTGATTTGGAGCGAATGCCTCATTTTTTGTTCTTTTATGATCTTTTAATTTAGCTAGTAGAAGCCTGGAAAAGCACACAATTTTTACAAAATTTCAGGTTCGTGAAATAAATGGGCGTCGATTTCGAGTACGCGACTACAGTTGGGGAACTGTTGAAGTGGAAAATTTGCAGCACAACGACTTTATTGCTTTAAGAGATACTGTAATTAGGTATTACATCTTCAATTATGTCATGAATTTGAGGTAACTTACCGATTTGGAGAAATTCACAGTAAATATCTGGGAATTATCAAGGTATTTATTGTGATTTTCTTTTATTCATGTCTCTCTGTAGCATAGAAATAGCGGACTTCAAAACTGGATGGTGCTGTTCAGCACACATCAAGGACGTCTCGAAACGGTTCTTCAGACTAACATTCTCTCCAGACATTGAAAGGAGGGACGATTGCAGGCTGACAC